CGCCCCTGCGCATGGGGCACCTAGCCAGAATGGCCCGAGAACATCTCCAGGCAGCCCAGGGACGTCAGAAACACTGGTACGATCGGGGCGCCCGATTGAGAACGTTCCAAGTAGGGCAGAAAGTTCTGGTACTTAGACCTGTCAAGGGAAACAAGCTGCAGACCTCCTGGCACCACCTATGTGACACCACCTATGTAATTGCCAGTAGCCAAGACAAAAGGGTCCAGAAGTCATTTCATGTTAATTTGTTAAAAGAATACCAAGAAAGGCCCGAAGATATAGCGGCCATATGTATCCCGGCCACTGAAGACCCTGACAGTCTTCCCATCCCAGATTTGTTAGCTGACTCCGAGCCGAAAACTCTGCTTAACACAGTGCAGTTAGGGGAGCGGTTAAACCCCACAGAAAGGGAACAACTCCAACAATTGCTAGCTGAGAAAGGATTGACATTCTCTCAGGAGCCAGGTTACACACCCTTAGCGACACATTATGTGGAGACACCAGGACAGACCCCTCGTAGACAGACTCCCTATAGAATCCCTGAAGCTGTAAAGGAGGAAATGAGAAAGGAGATTCAGGAGATGCTAAGACTGAGAGTCATAGAGCCGTCCGACAGCCCCTGGTCCTCCCCAGTTGTCCTAGTCCCCCAAAAGGACAGAACAACCCGATTCTGTGTCGATTACCGACGCCTCAATGACAGGACTGTGACAGACGCCTACCCCATGCCCCGGGTAGACAAACTATTAGATCGTATTGCCAGGGGACGCTATCTGACCACCATCGATCTGTGCAAAGGGTACTGGCAGATTCCCCTGGCCAAGGACGCTATCCCTAAGTCAGCGTTTGTCACCCCGTTTGGCTTGTACCAATTTAAGGTCATGCCATTCGGGATGAAAAACGCCCCAGCTACATTTCAGCGCTTAGTGGATCGCCTCCTTGATGGCTTCCAGGAATTCGCATGCGCATACCTGGATGACATTGCGATCTATAGTGAGACTTGGGAAGAGCATTTAAGACATGTAGAGGCTGTGCTGGATCAGATTAGGGCCGCAGGCCTAACTCTGAAACCAGAGAAATGTAATTTCGGAATGTCCGAAGTACAATAGTTGGGACACAGGGTAGGGTGTGGGAAACAGCGACCAGAACACGCGAAGGAGGAGGCTGTAGCCAACTGGCCCACACCCCACACCAAGACCCAAGTACTGGCATTCTTAGGGACAGCAGGATATTACAGGAAATTTGTCCCTGACTACAGCGCCATCGCTAAAACCCTGACAGATTTGACAAAGAAAAATTTGCCAAGAGTAGTCCTGTGGTCTCCCGCCTGCGAAACAGCGTTCCAAACTCTGAAACAAGCCCTGATCAAGGCACCGGTTTTGTCTGCCCCCGTCCCTAACAAAAGATTTGTTGTCCATACAGATGCGTCCATGTACGGACTGGGGGCAGTTCTGAGCCAGGTCGGGGAAGATGGAGGGGAACACCCTGTCGCGTACCTGAGTAGGAAACTATTACCCCGGGAAGTGAGTTACGCGGCAGTGGAAAAGGAGTGTCTAGCCCTGGTCTGGGCCCTAAAGAAGCTCACCCCATACCTCTACGGTCAGGAATTCACGTTGATCACAGACCATAACCCCCTAGTATGGCTGAACCGAGTGGCTGGGGACAATGGACGATTACTAAGATGGAGCTTGGCACTACAACCATACAACTTCTCCATTCAGTATCGCCCTGGCCGGTTCAATGGGAATGCAGACGGACTGTCCAGGCAAACTGAACTTTTACCTTGACTAAAGACCGGACAGCACCAAGTTGACCCGAAAAGGATCAATCCGGGTCTGCCGGAGTGTTCCACAAAAGGGTAGCAGTGTAACAGAACTATGATTATGCCTGTATTTTTGCCTGAACTTAATCAACAATGCTGCTGGAGGGGTTAAACAGAACCGAATGGCTGGTGTTCGTGTGACTATTGCTACTATAACATACAACCCAAAATACCGAACATCAGACCACCCAGAGGAACAGTTAATTGCTATTTTACGTCCCAGTGATTGTGGAGCCGTTCGCATGGTTCAGACGAATCCCTTTGTACTCAGGTTAGGTGGCCGCCATTTCGGGACTTTACACGTGTTCGCGGCCATCTTACGCACGAACGGCGGTGTTTGCCTGTGAACGCATGGAACTAAAAACGGATACACAAACAGGCGAACACCGCTGAGACCTCCAGGAGCTCGTAAGTTCGTGCTGAAACTACCGAACGACCGGCCGTTCGGTAGTTTTGTTTAAGCATGCATGGGGATTCAGGCGAACGCCAGGATTACTGTGGATGGCAAGGGGTTCGTGGGGTTTTTATGCACGGTGCTGGACTTAAAGGTGTACCCCCTGTTTTTGGGGTACATCCAGAATGTAGTTAAAATTGTGTCTGTTTTAATTGTGTTATATGTTATCTGAGGGGAGGAGACGTGGGGGTTGAACCATGTATGTAATTGGCTGTGGTAATAATTATGTGGGTGAAGCCTTTCAGAGGGCACCATTGCATAAAAGGAGACCCCCTGTCATTAAACATTAGTTCTACTTGACCCTTCAAAACGTAGCCTCGTCTCGTTCTTGGAGGGGATTTATGGTACCGTTACTCTGCCTCATTTTACAGAATAAGAATTCCATTACTTCACAGCAGCTTGCCTAGAAAAGGACGTCTCCAACGGCAAGTACCCCTTACCAGCTGGGTAGCCGTTACAGACCCCAAACCAGGGACTCCCACCAAATGCAAGAAACCAACAAGGGCTATCTCGCAATCTACCCCACACATACTGCACGCACACACCTAGCCACCCGCAGAGACGAGCTGAAAGACGCACACCACCACAGCGCAAGTAAGCCTACACTCTACCTGCCCACCTGCAAGCACCCGCAAGGGAACCACCACGCACCCACCCACCACATACAACATACACCCCACAGGGACACCCACCCGAGCCACTCACGCCACACAAAAGAATACAAACAGGTGCAGGGATTGGTCCCCTTGGGTGCGACACAGTTGCACTGGGTTTAGAAAGGCTACATGTTCCGGCTACATTACGACTAAGGGACCCCCCAAAAAAGTCAAACCATCAGCAGGCCCCATTCTTACTGAGTGCAACACTCTATGTAAATGACACGAGCAATGCCCATGTAAAAGGTCTGGAAAACACCTCGGGGGACGCGAAACGGCAGAGCATGTCAATGACCCCGACACAACTCCCACTCCCTTAGACCCTTTGCCACACCTGGCAAACTCAGGACCCACGATGCACCCCAACAGACCCCCGGAGAGGCGACCACCAGTCAGTGATTCAAACCCACACCACTTCATGGGGGGACAACCGCAACACGCACTGAACGCGTTAAAAGGCCACCACCACCTTAGGGCACCCACGGGCACCCCAATCAGTGAAACCCGTGCCACCCCAAACCTCTCCACAACATACTAGACCATAGGTGGGTCGGATATACCTTACACCTCAGGATGGAAACGTCAATGTATATAAGTTTTATGTATGGTTTTATATGTGGTTTACAAACGTTTTATGTATATTATCAAATTGTTTTATGACTGTTCTCTAACTCCTGCTCCAAAAGGAACACACCGCAACAGATGGGGCGATGGACCTATGACATCACAGACAGCACCAAACAAAGCAACACGAGAGACCCCTGACAGACGTGCACTACTTGTTCTCAACTAACAAATGACCACCTTGTGCAACAACTGACAGGTCGGGAAACAGGGAAGAGGGAGACCCTGTCACCCTCGGACGACCCCTACCTCACCGACCCCTTCCTATGGTCCACCACCCGAGTAGGACCGACACAGACACGACCACCCACAAGCCACGCCCAGAACGACCTGGCAACACTGATATAAGACCAGGCCACACACACGACTAACCCCCCCAACTACTCACACCCCCAGACACCACCACACGTACTACCTACACACAACCACTTCCCCCTTTTTTTTTTTTTCTTCTGTGTTTTGTGGGTGTCTTTTCTTTCCTCCTCCTCTTTTTTTCTCCTCACTCTTTCTCCACTTCTCCGTTCCCGTCCTCCTCCTTCTCCTCTTTGCCACCCCCCACCCACCCAACACCCCGCCTCATGTCACGGCACCCTATACGGGAGCCCCCCCGGGACTCAGGGACAAATCAGTACACAAATCCGCACACCTCACATGTCTTTCGATAAACTGCAAAGGCCTCAACAACCCAAACAAAAGACACCGCCTGTTGAGGTGGGCCTACCGCACTGCAGCCAAACCCACTACGAACAATCCAGAGCATTCCCCCTCTTAAACAGACAATATCGAGAATGCTACCTAGCAAACTCCCCAATGGGGAAAAAAAACGGCATAGCCATGATGGTCCGCAAAACCTGCCCCATAACTTTCACGCACACCACAACAGACCCACAGGGCAGGTATATCACACTAGCAGGTAACATCGGACCCCACAGATATGCCTTTACCTCAATATACGCCCCTACCATCCCAGACATTAACTTCTGGGAAGCCCTACAGACCCATCCCCGCCTCTTCCCATCACACCACATGATTGTGGGGGGGGGGGGAATTACAAGGCAACCATGTCTCCCGAGGCAGATAGAAGGAGACCAAACACACCAAACGCAAGAACCCAAGGGTCCACCCGGACGGACAGGATGCTGCAAACATTTGCAACACGCACACAACTTGTCGACACCTGGACACTACTCCATCCTTCCACCTCAGACTTTACTTTCTATTCACACCCCCACTCCTCCTACTCACACATCGATATGTTCCTCACGTCCCCCTCCCTACTCCCAAACGTCACAAAGTCAACAATAGGCTTGATCACATGGTCGGACCTTGCCGCCATTACCCTCCAGTTTACTATACCGCATGCCACTAAAACATGGTCCTGGAGACTCAACCCCATACTCCTCCACAACACTACCATCAAAGAAGCCCTCGGAAAAGACATAACTGATTACTTTGAACTTAATAAACACTCGGTCTCCTCCGTAGGCACCCTCTGGGCAGCCCACAAGGCTGTCATACGGGGCAAACTAATAGTGGCGGCCACGGCTCACAAAAAACAACAACTAAAACAACTTGAGACACACCTAACCGCACTCAGAACCACAGAACTCCAACACAAAATGGATCCCAGCCCCGCCCTCATGACCCAATTACAAACACACAGACAAGAAATGCAGAAATTTATGGCACAAGACGCTAAAAAAGTGCTCCAATGGACGAGACAAACGTTCTACGAAAAATCGAACAAAGCAGACACACTGTTGGCACGCAGGCTACGCCAAGGACAACGATCCAGACACATCACCCAAATACAAACACCAGACGGTCAACTACGCACACTCCCACACCAAATAGCGGCTGTCTTCCAAGACTACTATGCCTCACTCTATGACCACGACCCAGACTCACGACAAGACCCCAACAATACCAGGTTAAGGATAGCGACATTCCTAGAACGCATCCACATGCCATCGCTAACAGATGAGGGCCGAAGAAGCCTTACTACTCTCATAACCACCGAAGAAATAGCGCTAGCACTGAAATCCCTCAAGCCCAACAAATGCCCAGGCCCCGATGGCTTCCCCGGGCTTTATTACAAAACGTACCCAACGACACTCCTACCGCACCTCCTCTCACTATTCACCTCCCTAATGGACGGAACCCCCCACACCCAGACATGCTGAGGGCCAACATCTGCCTACTACCGAAACCGGACAAAGACCACCTAGACCCAGGCCATTACAGACCAATCTCACTTCTAAACACAGACATCAAACTCTTTACAAAATTAATGGCAAACCAACTACACCCATTCCTCCCCAAACTGATCCACCCAGACCAAGTAGGCTTCATCCCATACCGGCAGGCTAGCAACAACACACGGAGAACATTCGACCT